TCTTATCATTGCTCCTCATTTAAATATTGAAACTGTATCTTACCACTGGACCTGATGGTTGTTGCGGGTTGCTTAAGGATTCTATTAAGGATATGAAGAATTATGTAATTCCTGTTAAATGCAGCATTCGTAGTTTTTCTGCTAGAGACTGTTTTTGAGATAATTGAAATTTTTTTTAAATTTATTATAGTTTCATAAAAATATAATTGGCGATTTGTAAGTTATACAAGGAATTTTTCTTTATTGCTTCGGTAATTGTAGAAGACAAATAAATATCTCATAATTATTTGTGCCAAAAGAAGTCATACAGATTTATGATTTAAAAAAATCATAATACAGATTTCATACACATTTATATTAAAAAAATGTTTTCTTTAAAAACTGTTAATTTATTAATAATTAAAACTGTATTATTTTTCAAAAGCTTTAATACACTTCACCATATTTTATGAAACAATTCTTTTCTGTTTTGTGTTCATTTTATTATTATGTTGAAGCTATTTGAGCCTCGAAATATCTTCAAAACCCCTCTTTACGCCTTGCTGGATTATTGTTTGTCACTTACCAGACTAAGCAATAATTGATCTCAGATTTGCATACTTCCCGGAGGAGCCTGTAACCATTCTGAGATTCGATAACGCGGTGTTGGTAAGTCTGTCAGTTTTCGTAAATAATTTCAGTGCTCTATTCTTTATGTATTTTTTGATCAGATCAGTCTTGAGGTCCATGAGGATGTCATTCGTCCTAATGTACCATGATACTTTGAAAAGTCTTCTCAGAGTCTGGCTTTGTGCAATTTTTAGCTGGCGAATAGTACTGTTTAAAGCTTTGCTAAACGCTACACATCCATATAGTTTTCATTTTAGTTATTACATATTAAACATAATTTTTAATTTGTTAATCAATAATTAACAAGTTAAATCGAGTTATGAAAATATCATCTTTAAAATGTCAAGTTCTTCATGCAGACCTGGCTTTATTTGCCAGTTGTGCTTTGAAAGTATTCCTACTACTAAATAACTTTTGGCCAACTGGTTAATAGCTCCTTTCAATAATGGCTACTATCAAAGCTGAGGAGGAGGGAAAAATGTCAATAATCGGTTCTAATACTGCCTATCATTCGGCAGACGGCGTATATCTATTGTATGCTTTTTTGAAAGGTCTGTCCGATATTACTAGTATAAAAACTAAAAATAGTTTTGAGGTATTATTTAAATGGCACGATGATTTTCCGATCGAGAATAGAGATTTCTTTAGTATTCAGCGATGGATTGGTTAGCAAATAATTTAGATTTATTTAATTTATTTACGAATTTAATAAAAAGTGTTTGTTAAAGTAAAAATTATTCCAACAGCAATATATTTATATTCATTATTATCATCGCTGGCTTTGGTGTTCATATTAAATTATAGCCTATATCATTTAATCGTTTATATTAATTGAATTTCATAATTTTAAAGAATATTCATTAAAATCTTTAGTTTTATGTGAACATAACTGTCCTGCATCATACGCTATATATATTAATATAAAATACTGATACATGGACATGAACTTCGCTGAATGCGAACCGTATCTGAAATTTTTGCACATGGGTGAGTTTTACTTATGGCATAAATTTTTATATGAAATATATTGTTTAATATGGCATGCACAGAGGCGTAGTAAGTAGAAAACATAAGTTTATATAAACAGAGACACTTAAGAATTAATTGAAATTTATTGCCCCTTTAAGAACTGTTTCGAAAAAAACCAATTAGGGAATAGTAGTATAATAGCGAAGATTTTTATGTTTTTATATCAGAGATATACATTTTTATAATGGAGAAGATTTTTATTAAGACATTCATTCAGTACACAGCTATTTTTTAAGAAGTGTGCAGTAGTATTCACTTCTTTTCAACCTTCTTTGTGAAGTCCTAAAAACGCCTCTGGATGAGAACATTTCAACTGCAGTTGGTAAAAAAGATTTATTCCCATATATTAAACTATATATGCATAGAATTAGTAAATGTACTGTTTATAGATGAATCAGACCTTGATTCATTTATCGAGGTATCTATCAAAGTATTTGAGTATTCCAAAAACTTGGCTAAAATGGTGACAAGATATCGTAGAATGCTGACAAGATATCGTAAAATGCTTGGTAATATCTGCCAAGTTTTAACTTTTAATATGGCACTGAGCCATATAGGTATTATATGATGAAAACTAAACTTAGAGTTCAGTACAGAAGCCATGATCTGCGCCTTTTGCTGAAATTCGAATGTAAGTTCAATTTCGATGTCAACCTCCTTGACTTTGTAAGTGACCAATGGAATGGAAAAGATATGTTGGCAACTTAGACGGCACTGACATTTACACTTACGCTTAATATTTGTACGACTGCAAGGAATTGTTATTCCAATGTTTGGCGAATTGAAACTTCAGGGTTTTAGAGAAGTAACATCACAAGTCTACGTAGTGAGAAAAATATGGATTTTTACATCAAGTTTAAATGCGTTTAGTATTTTCGTTTTTGATTTATTAATTGTCATCGCAAATGCCAAACGAATCAGGAATTTATATTATTTGAATTTTTACTTTTATTTTATTGAATTTGACTTACCAAAGTTCTTCTAGAAAGCTTTGTGCATTCATATTTTTGGAATCATTAAAGGAATTTGAATAGAAAGCAGTATGATTTGAGACTGCTAAGTCTTACACTATTATTTATTCGAAAAATTGTGAACTACGAGAACAAAAATTCTTTTCATATTATTTTAATTAATTGAATTTGTAGCTGACCATATAGATGTTTTAAGTATTGCCAAATACCCATCATAAGTAATTTTGGATTTATTTTTTATATTTAATTATTCGTAAATAATTCTTTAAGACTGCAAGTACCAAGGGTTCATTTCAATTAAAATGATATAAAAAGAATTTTTTGTTGTGGGTAACTACTTTTCAAAAACTCTATTAAATACAATAGTTTATGTTAAGTAAAATAGTCACTATCGTCATAACTGACGTTAAATTACAAATGTATATGTTATATATTATTATTTATAAAGAGATCGTTTAGTTATTGTTTTTGTCAGAAATAAGCCTAATATCTCATCGCATACCCCAATAGCTCTATAGTATGTTTTGGTAGTCGACTTTTATATCGTTTTGCTTTCATTTGCCTCTAAGCCCATTTCCACAACCTTCTTTTCGATAGCAGTAAAACCACTATTAACAGCACGCTTGCTACACCCTATGATATCGATGTCGACAGCGAAGGCAAGAAGTTGTATACATTTCAATTCGTCACTATGATGACAAAACTGAAGGCATCATTTATCATGTGATCTCGTAAGGCATCAACAGGTTTATAGAGTCTTGATCCTACCTTAATACGGTTGTTTAACTTTTTTTCATTAACTTCTACCTTTGCAGGCATACTGAGCTTAGATATTGTGCTGTAAAAATTATCCCTTATGGCCCTATCGAAAGCAATAAAAATCGAAATCGATAAAAAAATGGTGATATCTGGTTAATGGTAGAGCAATCAAGTTAAAAGCAGTACTAATAAAAGCTGGCAAATGTGTTGAATGTGGCTTGAACTTTTCATATAGTATGGTTGAAAGGACCTTACACGTAAATGGTATGAGGCTGATCCCAAGATAGTTGCTACAGATGATCTGGTCTGCTTATGTTAGAAAACTACAAAGAGCACTGAGATTCCAATCATTGGGCATCTTTCGTCTAAGTTTAGTCTACCGATATAGTGACGCGTGCTCCCACTCAGCATATCTTTGCCTTCCCTAATGAATTTTGCTGATAGTTCATTTGCGTCTACCGCCTTGTTATTCGTCAGGCTGTATAACAACGCATACTTCGTTATGTCAAGATCAGTATTTTTGATTGCGGAGAGACTAGAAGTGTATTTTTCCAGAGCCAAAATTGATTTATTCAGCCGATATTTTCAGTATAGCCTAGAAAAGATTTCGTGTCAACTGGAGTGCTGATGCCATTGCGCTATGCCTCAAGGTTCGTGTATTCCAATAAACGGACAGTGTAGGTATTGCCATACTGGATGAAAGACGGAAATTCAAGTTATTAATTGTACAGAAAAATGAATCCAAGCAAATTAATAAATTTATTAAGTTAAAACTTTAATTGAATCAATTTGTATGTGATTATTAATAACTATTCTAACTGTTTGGCTATTCATATATTTTTCTCGTTTTTGTATGAACTTCTTTAAAATAAATGGCTTAAGTTTTGCAAGCAAAACAGGTTAAAAATAAAATTAATTAAAATGAAATTAAGGTGAAAAAAATTATAAAATTCCTAAAAGTTCTAAGGAATATATTTAGATTTTATTCTTATCATTTTAATACACTCAAGTGGCGTGCATCCTTATCCGTATTGTTCTTTCATTATCCCACTTCCTGCGAGTGCCTGCGTGCTTATACCAGCGTAAAATTAAAGCTTAAAATTCGATCAACATGAAAATTAGTGGATTTTGTCAGTTTTCTAAGCGAAAATACAAAATTCAAATTACAACAGAAGCACCAGAAGGGAGGAGGACAGCGTAACATTTTG